ATTACCAGGCCGATGATTGCGGTGCTCCGACTCAGCCATGTCCCTGGAGACTTCGGCCAAAGTTTCAAGCGGAGTCATTCCTTGAAAGGGTCTTCCACGGATGGCAGTTGTCTGTTGATTATTTGCAGTCTGAATATTTATATGCTGATTATTCGTTCTATCCGCAATCTCGGGGAGATTGTTAAACTCAAGAACAAGCCGCTGTTTTGTAGCACGATCCAACGCGGGGCACTTCCTGCAGATGTGACTTGTCAAAGTGTCGAGTCTTCCTTTAGGGAATTTCTCTGAGCAAGCTCTGCAAGTATGATGGTAGCGATTGCTTGAATCATTTAACTTTGCACCTCTTTCGAAGTACTGAAGAATCAACGCTGTTGATATTTGTGGTCAGTAAACATTCTTGTTTAAAAGATGAAAGATCGGTGGGGGATGACTCGAGTTTTTGAGGGCTTCAAATTGAAGCTATCGAGAAAATTCCAACGGGATGCACTTACGGTTAGGTTTGCGACCCATCTTGCCGTATAAAATCGCGTTGATTCTTTTGTTTGGATACTTGATTGACTTATTTCAAGAATAATCAACAAGAGTTGAAGAGTTGAGGATTCGAGTAATGCCAGTTTAATCACTCACCGACAAGTAAAAGGTGTTGGCGGTGTGGTGTAAGGGGAGTCGGAGTGGGTTAATTGTTGTTCCGAGTGGGGGGCTGGAACTAGATACGGTGACCCGAACTGCTCAATACCGTTATGGCCCACATTCAGCCACCTTTCAAACCTGTCCATACTACCTACTCTTTGAAGACCACACCTTTCACAAATTCAGCATCAAAAACAAAAGGATGATGATGCATCTAAAAGGTGCTAAGCTCTACTAGAATGCTCTTGTCACTTACAAAGAATTCACTTCCCTAAAGTCATTCACTTCTTCGTTGATCTGAATCTCCATTAACACCAAACCTCCTACTGCACAAATATCATGACATCCCATCACAATAGTATGTATCAATACTTTGTCTGCCTATCTAATTATGCTCTAATTCAACACAGAATGAGCTAGTTTTTGTTTCCTGAAGGTTTGAGAGACAAATTACAACTCTCTCGCAGATATGAATGTTCAGTTGAGCTATGAAGTAGCCATAGTCAACATTGCTGTGCTGTGCTTTGCTATTCAACAAGATCGAGGAGTTACAGCTTCGTGGCCCATTCTGCAAGGTTCTACTCATTCTTAGAATCCGTGACTGTCCACAATAGGGCTTGCACGACCTAGTCGCCGTTGATGTATGGAACAGATTTACATCATGCAACCAGATCATGAACGCTTCACAGACTTCCACAATTTTTATCTCTAGTCATTGACACGAATCAAGAGACAACTTTAGCGAGAAAAATAAATCAACATCCGAAATTTCCATGAATTGACACAAAATCAACTTAGACTCGACCTACCAGACGAAGTTAATTTGCATGTGCTAGTAGTACTTGTATACCAGTATGGTGGCTGCTACTGAATTCATTGATTATCATTTCCGCTCTTGGGCCTGTGCATTGGAGTTACTCTAGATCAGAGCGATAAGGTTATTCTGGCATTCCGGCCTGAGCCGGGCAAGTTCCCTTTCTTTAACTAGCAGGCTAAAGTCTTAATTTATTATTATTAGTGGATTCAGTCGCCTTAAATAGGAAGCTCCCTCGATTTAAGTTGTCAATGTTGCTTTTTGTTTCGTCCACTCATTTGACACCGTGATACCAAGCACCGGTATACTAGCGGCAGATTATAGGTTATATGCAAGGCATCCACAACATGCACAAGGGGCAGGTATCAATCGTGGGGTATATGGGTCCTATGACATGTTGTAGAACCTCAAACAGGCGATCAGCCCGATGCAGAGATTGTAGATTATTGGAAGGTACTTGATAAAACCATGTTAAAATTGGTTCTTTACGCAGCTCATTGGCACTCCAGCAAATATATAAGGTAACATGGTAATATGTTTATCAACTTATTCTTAGAATCCCTTCACTACCCCTGTCAATCCTAATAACAATGTCAGTATGAACCAATGATTAACAAGAGATCATCTCGTGTATTACATGCTTCGGTCCAAAGTATACACTTTTGTCTTCTCGTTTCTTAGTTCTACCACCAGAGGTATTTGGGTGATACCCACCATCTGTAGCACCTTCTATCGACCATTTAAGTATAAAAGGTACTGCCAAGTGCTTGAGAAATGGATGGCTATGCTTTTCTTCGTCTCTACTAATTGCTCAAGATGAAGTTTCTTTCGATCATCTATCTGTGTTTTGCAGCGATCTTTTCAGTCTCGAATGCTGCAGAGCTGGTCAAAGATGACACAATTGGCGATATATGGGAAGCTATTGAGTCAGCTACTACTTGTGCGGGATGCAACGTAAGTATATAACACATTTGTTGAGATATGTATCTCTTTGCCGATCTTGGTGACGGGTTTTGAAGGAGCCTCTGCTCGAAGTTTATGGGGGACATTTCTCCAATTACTGATTAATGACTAATGTGGGTGAAAACAGGCGATACTATTGCTACTCAAAGGCGTCGCGGCTCTTGGAGATACCGTCTTTGTCGACACTTTGACTGAAATATGTAAACTGGCTGGCGTTAGTTCCCCTATTGTTGTTGTTATTCTTGGTTAAACATTTTTGCTGATTTGCTTTAAGGTCGAGGATTCAGATGTTTGCGCAGGTGCAATTGGCCTGGAGGGGCCAATTATTGCACAAGACTTGAGAAAAATGACTTTAGGGTCACACACTTCAAAATTGTTCTGCATCACATTCTTTGGATTATGTGATTTCCCTGCTGTTACTCCATATACAGTTCCATTTCCAAGTCCCAAGCCTGCTACCCAGCGCCCAGCTGTCAGTGGCAAAGCACCCCTGAAAATTGTGCATTTCAGCGACATTCACGTGGATCACGAGTATGAAGTTGGAGCGAATACCAATTGCACAAAGTCTATCTGCTGTAGGCCATATACATCCGCCGATGCGCCTGGTAACAACTCCTATCCAGCTGGAGAATATGGCAACTACAACTGCGATGCTCCTGTAAGCTTGGAAGAGAGCATGTACGCGGCTATAAAGGAGGTCGCTCCAGATGCTACAGCAACACTCTTCACAGGTGATATAGTTGAAGGTGCTGTCTGGCTTGTGAACTCGACCGGCAACATTGCGGATATAAATGATGCTTATAGTCGAATGTCTGGTTTAAAAAATCTCTTTGCAACTACCGGAAATCATGAATCGGCACCAGTCAATTCTTTCCCCCCTAAAGCAGTCGGCGTCACGACTAATCAATGGGTCTATGATACCCTATCCACAAACTGGATACCATTTATTGGTTCTACTGCTGCTTCCTCAGCTGATAGCTTTGGTGCATACTCGACGCTCCTGCCAGGAGCCAACCTGAGGATCATCTCTATTAACACTAATCTCTACTACAGATCTAACTATTGGCTCTACGAAGCGACCATGGAGACTGATCCTTCTGGGCAACTAGCATGGTTGGTCACTGAACTTCAGGCTGCTGAAACTGCTGGCCAAAGAGTTTATATTATTGGACATATGCCTATGGGGTCTAACGATGCACTCCACGATGGCTCGAACTACTTCAATCAAATCACTCAAAGATATTCCGCTACTATTGCTGCTTTATTCTTCGGTAAGCTCTTTCTAAATTTCTTTCTTTTGCCCACTAATAAAATCAGGCCACACTCACCGTGACCAATTCCAAATCACGTACAGTGACTACAGCGCCCAAACTGCAGCCAACGCCCTCGAGGTATCCTACATCATCCCCTCCATGACTCCTACCTCCGGTTATCCCGCTTTCCGCGTCTACTCCGTAGATCCAGTAACATACGGTATTCTTGACTTCACAACATACATCGCGGACTTCTCTCTCACCTCCTCCACGCAATCGGCACCAACATGGAAACCATACTACTCTGCTAAGGCTGCCTATGGCTCTCTGGTAACCCCACCTCTCACTTCCGCAACCGCAGAACTAACTCCCGCCTTCTGGCACAATCTCACCACCGTATTTGCAAATAACCCTACTGTTTTCAATCAATATATTGCGCGCAAAACAAGAGGGTATAATGTAGAAACTTGCACGGGTGATTGTGCAACAGAGGAAATCTGTCAGTTGAAAGCGGCGGAGAGTCAATACAATTGTGCGACTATCAAGCCTGGTATTAGCTTCAGGAAGAGAAGCGAAGGAAGCGAGAGATTAGAGAGAAGAATTGGTGATGTAGTGGAAACCCTTGGAGGAGACTGCGAGGGTAGTGTGATTAGACCAATTCTGACAAAGTTGGCGGCGCAGGAGGGATTGCTGGAGAGTGCATTGGAGATGGCGAAGATGAAGGCTAAGAAGTAGGAGGATTTGATGATGAGAGGAGGATGCACTTCTTCAAAACTCGAGGTTGGACTTGGAATTGAGAAGTATGCATGTGATACTTTATTACGTGTATGCTCGATGCTGTGAGCTAGTTATAGTGATACACCCAAATCAGAAGTTTTGTCACATGTCTGAGCAGCTATTGAATGTGTTCTTTGTTCAAGTTGATCTCGCAAGAGCGCGAAAGTGAGTTGGATCAGGTGTTTGCAATTCCCAAAATCAAGAAACCAAGTCTAAGTAAACCTTTTGGTTGAATGCTTGCTCTTCTATATCACAAAGAAATGTTCTCTAGATACCCCACTAATAGTATGCGCAAGTGCATGATTAGTAGCAAGGGCATAATCATTCGTTCCTCTCAAAGAATACTCATGAAACTCACATTTTGAGCATTTGGCCTCAATAGCCGATAGTATGAACCGGGAAGAATAAACATCTGGCTTGTCTGTATTGTTTTCTGAGGTTGGTTTCAAGTGTCTCGCATTTACATCTTCTTGCCTTGAAATGAAAGTTCTAGCACGAGATATTGCATAAATTTAATTCAAGCGCAATTTGCATATCAAATCGATTCAAAACTGCCAAAAACATTATGTGACTTTCAGACGATACAACATCAGCCTTAGAATCCGGTTCTCCCCTGACCCAGTCTTTGTCTCAAGTATTCCGAGCTCATGCTCAATCTCCGCATGCAAGTCATTCAGTAATGCTTTTGCGTAAGTAAAGCTTCCCATGTTTTCCATCTCTGTGATTGCCAATTTCTTCATTCCTGAAGACATTTTCCTCTCGTTCCATTTTCGCGATCTTAGGATGTTGAGAAGTTTCGCATCGCCGTTCTCAGCTTCTTTCCCAAGAGCATGAATGATTGGAAGGGTGAAAGATCCTTGATCAAGATCATTGTAGACGGTATCCAGATTCTGATTATCTCCCTAGAGGATTACCACTTGGAAGTTAGGTACAGGTGTCAAAGTTTGGGTGTCGGCCAAAGAAAGTTAGTTAAAAATACCTTTGTACTGGGAATAAGATCATTATAATCGTCTCGAAGCTGGTAGTACTTTCCCAGCTTTCTCATCAATATATCCGCGTCTACATCACGATTTTTGGTCGCTTCTGCACGCATCATACCTGCCGCCATGCGAAAAAGCCCTCCAGTTTCTGAAAGTGTAATGTCAGTTCCGATCTAACAACGTATATAGACGATCTACGCACTGTCTTCGGTCTGTTTAAAATATTCCTCCAGACTGGGACATCTGCAATGAAATGTCCAATGTAAGTCTTGACTTTGGCCAATATGTAATTGCGACAAAGTATCTACGCAATTTCAGAATCAGTGATTCCTCGAGATAACCATTGATATGGATGGGATGACTAACGCGTAAAGCAATTGATAGATTCCTTGCTCAAAGCCATGGCAAACTCGAAACATTTCACATGTTGATATGTTGCCGAATTGATTGCTTGGCTGATCCCAAACACCTCATGTGCTGAGGGAGATCCGCGTCGTGTGGGAGAGTTGTCTTCAATATCATCTAATCTAAATACTGTTATTGCTGGAACTGAAGGAAAGCCTTGATAATTGGCAAGTTACTCGTTTGTCTTACATTAGTGATGTGTTATGAATGGTACCAATGACATGCCGAATGATCTCTAAGGACTCGCGTGGAACAAAATACCAACAGTTGAGCGCGTCAAGCAATGCATTTCTTGAGTTTGATGCTGGTAAAGATGAGATATATTTGTAAGGTTCCAGAACAATCTAATAGCTTCAGTAATGTGTTTAGAAGGAATTGTGAAGCTTGAGAATTACCTTATCCTCACCATTTTGACTGAAACTAGAGGAATCAAAGTTTCCGTTTGTGTTCGGAGTTTTGAACTCCAAGCTTTCAGGCGTTTTAGCAAACGATATATCATTCTCGCTTGGGTGCTAACAAACTATTAGAATCTTTTTAGAGAGGTGTAGGTAGAGTTGAGAGTACCTGGTCTAATTCAATCTTAGACCTTTTACTATCACGCTGTCCATCAGATTTGATATCTTCGATTTGAGATGCGGGGCGCTTTGCCTTTATCTTTGAAGTTGGGATTGGCGCTGGGGTTGGGGTCGGCGCCCATGCGTTATATCGTTTAGAAGTAGCATGCCAAAATCGATTGCCCGCCGCCGCGAGCTCGATGAGGCCCAGAAATCGTTTTGTATCTGAGCTAGGACTCTTCGTTCGAAGATACTCGTCCCTAAGCCTGCAATATTGCATTTCATCTTCCAGTATTCTGTCCCTCAAAAGTTCCCGTGCTTTGGAATCTTCCACATCACGAAGATGTTTCAACAGCCATACGGCATTAACCATTGGCACACTACCATTTGTACGATTATATAGGTCATATTCCTTTTCCCATGAGTAATAATCATTTGTCAGTACCATGGCTTTCAATAGAGGGAGAATCACGGGATTCAAAGATGACCTTTCATTATCGTTCAAATTCACGTCCGCAGTGTATATAAGCATCTCCCTCAAGACCCTGCAATCGTCAATGTTTCATATAGAATGTTTGAATGGCAATGATAACATACCACCCCCCAACATCGAAAAATCGCCATACTAAATATTCATCGAGTGTTTTATAGGATTTCAAATCTCTTTGTGGAGACTTGATTTCTAGAAATGGCCGATAAACTTCAAGGAATCGGGATGCTCCATCATGATCCGCTCGGTAAATCTGGAGCGCCATTCGGGCTTGTATGTTTTTTATCATACTATTACTTTTGTCGTGGTGATCTTTGCCGATAAATGAATGCATCGTTTGATGAGCTTTTTCGAACTATAAATGTGTTCAAAGTTGAATTCTACCACGGCATGTTTTAATTCTTACCTCCTCAGGGGTCTCCTTCTCATCCACCATATCTTAATAAATTTCAATCCAATATTAACTCCAACTCCTTGCATTGGGAATTCGTCACCATAAAAAATCACTTACCATCATGAATGAAACCATATTCACATAGATAAGTCATGGGAATAACTCGATCTAGCTTTCCTTCGGGGAACACCGTCGCTAAAAAGCTTCCGCTTATCTCATTGACGCAGCCGACGGCAAGCGATCCTTTCCAGTCAGCTTTCTTGAGATCCTCACGGCACTCCCAGCTCGTATTTTCGATTTCTTGATTCGCCTCGTGAAGTCTTGGGTGAAAGGTGTTTGGGAAATCAGGGTCAATCTCGAAAGCTTCAACAGGATGGGGAATTGAGCGTTTGAACTCAATCGGTAAGTTACGGTATTGTCGTGCAGTAGCCATTTTCGTTGAGGAAATACATAAAAAGACTATCGTATTGGAGTTCGAAGCTATGAACGTTTGGTGATATTTTTAACACTTATAGACAATATGATACAGACTGGTGCGATACGTGGCAAATATGAGTGACCAATACGAGGTATTCACCATCACTGTGTCCTTATTACACAGCGAAGACATTTTGTATATTCAGAGATTACAACCTTTCAGTGGAATGCTAATACACTAATCCCACCCTGAACTACCTCATCTTGGCCAATCAGAGCCCTGAGATGTGATCAAATTCTATTCTAGATATCACATTCCTGATTAGAAGTATACACTACAGCATCCAAGGCCAAAAGCTCTTTCTTTGGCTGATTGGAAAGCCGGGTCTTCATGATTTGACTCTATCCAGCTAGTTCGATGAAACACAAAGTTGCACTACGAATCATAAATATCTTGTTTCAGAAGCTCCTTATTTTGAAGAGAGCCCGAAATTGGATTAATCGCTGCTTAAACACCCTATTTAGTGAACTCTTGTTCATAGCTGAATGTTTTGCATGTGTTCAAACTTATCTCTTTAGAAAGGTCGTTGCAGCAATGTGCTATCCGGTCGCGCTTAGGTTACATGATTGGCATGTCTCGATGTCTTCTTTTCGTATTGGACATAGTTTGCAATACATGATGTCACTTTATACTATCTTCTTAAATTAAATCTTGACCGGATTAGCAGCCACAACAATGTTAGTGTATGGAATGTGAGATAACCCTAGTTAGTACTAGCCGAGAACACCTGGGCACAAACCCTTGATGGCGTTCTTGAGCTGAATGTGTGCATATCATGCAATACAAGATGCAGTATGCTACTTTGTGATGTTGTACATGCAAATGAATGCCGGGCTATCATAAAAATATATCTCAAGAATCGGTTCGTTTCTGTGGATTAGCATCGATATCAGTGATTCGACATGTGGATTGTAGTTCTCACTTATTTTGTAGAATTGTTTGTCTTGCCCGGCATTTGTTGTTAACACCGGGTAGATACTCACATTAGTGTCTTGAATATCTCTAGACTCGGTCTAATCTTTGTATTCCTATTGTGTTATCTTATTCGGTCACGTCCTGTTATTGCATTGTATTCCAAGCAGAAAGGGAACTAAGAGAGCATCAGCTGCGCACGCCGTTACACAAGCGCTTCTTTTCGACCTCGCTCACTTAGACGCTCTATCGAGCATTTGGTGCTCCTTCAATGGAACGCATGAATAAGTATGGTAGTGGTTGTGAGTCAGTCCATACTTGTAACTGCATCAGGTATCGGGGTGATTGAAATTCAGTTGATCTATCTTATAGGCTTTACGTTGGTACACCAGAGGGTGTACGGACTAACAAGACACTATAAAAAATTGACTCGTGGATATCTTTTGATATATTAATTTATATGTTTTAGAAATTGTGACAACTATCTACTAGAAATAGAACAACCAAAACATAAAACTTGATATCACACAATTAAAGAATAAATTTGTTTAAAAAATTGGAAATTGAGGAGTGTCACGCCAATCTATACACCCGCTGATGGTACATCAGCATTTCCAACTACGCCTTCGATGACCCTGACATAGTTTCAAAAATCCAGGTAGCGGAGGACGTGGAAAATCCAACAATTGCTCGAACATAAAATTTTCATGAACTTTGCCATGGCGTCTGAAAAATGCACTTCTTGGCGTCATTATTATACAGTAGCTGGTCTTCTGGCGATTCAAAGACAATTTCAACGGTATTTGCTCGGTTATTGATGCTCATAAGATTTCTTGCGTCATTAAAGAGTGTGTCGCTTCCAGCGAGAAAGCGGAAAGTCAAAACCATCTGAGCTTTGGTGCTGGATTCGATGCTTGAAATGCGGACATGGACAGTTTCTGATTTCAAATGAACAGTAAAAACAGCATGGTTATAGATTCCTTGAGCTTTAGTCACCTTGGTTGAACTAGCAGAGATGAAAAGAAAGTGAACGTAGGGCTGGGTTGTAATGGATAGTCTCGGTAGAAGCAGATGACATGGACTGGGAAGCTAGTTGGGTTCTTAGTTTTTCAACGCACCGGTGCTAGATTTTTCATCCGTATGTACAGATCTCGTATGTTCCATCTCTCTCTCTCTCTCTCTTTTATCGCGTGCTATGCTGCCTTTGTAGCTTCCAGCGTGCCATATATGTATTTGGTAGCTATTGATATTAGTGTATCAAAACTTGTGTATGTATTTGCTAATTGGTATGATCATAATCCACCTTGGTAGAGGGGGTCAATTCACCATTTTATGTAGAAGATGAAACATTGTCACCTACTGAATTGTTGTCCTCATTCACTTGTTCTTAAAGAAGTGAATTACTGTGATGATTCACCTTCCATCACCAAGCATTTAAATAAAAAACTTTCCCCAGAATTGACTTTTGAACAATTCTATTTGCCAGCACTGCCGACTCAAAAAGCATTACTATTACTGAAAAGCTCTACGTCACTCCTTTTCCAATCTTCACTTTTCTAGCTACCTCTCAATAGTTCTTGATCGCTTTAGTCTCTTTCGGTACCTCAAATATTCCGTTTCAAATCAAATCACGTTAACACTGCTTTTATTCTTCTCATATCTCTCAAGGGAACCTTTTCTCCCCTTCTAGATCACACTTGTTTGAATCATAGCAAATCGGATAAATTCAAATTAGATTTCTACCACCATATCTAGCTCACTGAGCTTTCTTTCTCCCCTGAGCTCTATCCGTCTGGCCCTTCTGCAACCTCAATTCACTCAACTTCCTAACTACATCAGCCCTTTCCGAGCCTCCAGCAGTACAAAAAAAATCATTAAAAAGCTCCCATACCATCAATTTTTGAATCCAGGGTCTTTTCACAACCGAGATCCTATCCATCACTGATTTGAGCCTTCAGCCATCAACGAAAAGGGGCTAGCTACATACGCTACTACCTATTTCTCATCAGTAAGTTACCGATCATGTAAACTCTACTTGTCATTTGCGATCTATTCGACTGCATGTCCTCAACCTATGAGAGTGATACAGAGTGGCTGCCAAGATCTTGACAGCAGTATGCAAATTCTCAACGACTACAGCCTGCTAACCTTTGATACATAGTTTCCACTTAAATTCTTTGAGATTCCAGCCGTTTTTGATATAATTCAAGGCATCAAACTGAGCCGCGAAGCCTACTTTAGAATGGTACTGTGTTTCCCTTTAAAGCAGTACTTTGGCCATAGAAAAACCGACATCGAACCCAGAACTTTCATACATCTTGTGCGACACGGAGAGGCATACCACAATCTCGGACACCTCAATGGAAAAATCAATCCCAAATCTTACGACATCCAAGATCCCTATCTTACCTGTACGGGGATTGAACAAGCCAAGTCTACTAGAGAGCAGATGACAAGACGTTGTCCCGTCCCCAATCTCGTCCTCACATCCCCTTTAATTCGCACTCTCGAGACTACACTCCACATTTTCCCTTCCGCCAATAATATCAGTATCTATCCACAACCTCAAATCGTCGCCTATGATGACTTAAGGGAGAGCGGTGCATACTTTTGCAACGTCCGCCAAGCAACTCTTGATTTAGCCAACAGTTATGACCACAAAGGGGTAGATTTTACTGCTCTATCACCCGTCGTTCCGCCAATGAAAAGTGTTATTCGCACGAAACAGCGTGCTGAAATTGTGCGCACGCAAATCTTGGTCATTTCAAAGCTCATCAAAAAAGGAGGGGGGCTTTGGAAGGGGATCTATATACAGGGTACTGGACAGAATACTGGGCCACGAATGCAGATGAAACAGGATGTACATATTGTGGTGGTTTCTCACGGGTCTTTCATGGAGTATTTGCTACCGCGTAAGTTGTGATACGTTCTCGTTGATTGGGGCACCAATAACTAATCTCGTTGATACAGGTTCTCACACGATCCAGCCAGTTTGGCGAAGATTTAAGCCAGCGGAGATGAGGACATATGTGATGGCTGAAGATGGTCATTTAGACGAGATAGTAGAGTCTAAGAGAGCTAGACAGACTATTATTTTGCGAAAGGTTAGCTTGATTTTCACTAGCTCTTCAGATTGAGACCATCTTCTCATTTTTATGGTTCAGAGGCTTTGTGCTAAATTTCGAGATAGGATAACGTTGAAAGGTACCGTTGGGACTTTTTTGAAATATTCATGTGGATCATGGGGTTGCTTCTTTGTGGATTTGGAATCATCTTCAGTGTCTTGAGGAAGAATACTTCAAATAAGCTGTATTTGAACTATTCAAATGCAGATTCTGGAAATGCATATATATGAACTACCTACTTGTGCAAGTTTGAGACTCTAGTGAATGATACTTTTATTATAGCTATGTGATTCGCAACAGTACTACAGTCAATGGAAGTGAGAAAGGTGATTTGGACACAAGTAATGACGGTGCTGATTTCTCGGGGTGGCAAGGTTCATCGGAGGAGTTTGCCTCCGCCGAAGATTCTGCCGAAGATAACTGGTGTTAGACTTCGTCTTATGAAATAGGGCAAGTTCTTTCAATTGATAGAACCACCTGCAGTGAAGGTTATTCTAAAAAAAAAAGAGAAAAAAAGTATAGACCGAAAGACTTCGGAAGATATCGGCTGACATTCAAAGGGTGGACGTCTGAATGTTTCAATCAAGCCTAAACATTCAAATCATTCCCCCTCAGATTAAACGAGAGTTCAGCACCAGAAAGACATTTAACAAATCTCACAATTATTTCGACAAAATAATACATGTCACTAGGAAACACAGTATTATCGAGTATCCCCGATACTGAATTGAGATTACTTTAGATACCCTAAAAGGTTGTAATACCCATCCAAATAAGTGTTAATTCGTTTTTTACCTTACAAAATGATCTTCTTTCCATGTCTAGCATTCCACAATGGATCTTTCTCAACATTCTCATCCCTCTTCTTCATTTTCAGGGTATTCCTCTCCCTCTTTCTGTTAATCGCTGGCTTCTTCTCCTTAGTCTTCGAGTTTTTACTCAATACATCTCTCTTTCCATACGGCAAGCCAGCACCTGCAACGCAAGCACCGCCGCCCCAAGCCGCTGTAGCAGCAGCCTCCCAGACCTTCTCTACGTCTGTGATCATGGGTGCTGTCCAGTACAATCTACAGTCTGCTTCTTCAACTACGTACTGAGCTGGAAGTCCATCGTTGACATTATCGGGGTAAATAGCATCTCTCAGATTAATTGATGAAGCGGTGCTTCTTCCAATTGGGAAGGCTGTGAGACGGTTTAGGATGGCGATATCTTCGGGTGTTGCGTTTGGAGATGAAGCAGCAAGTTGTGCATAATAGTATATATCATCGAAGTCAGTTACTTGTGCTCCTTTGATACCACCTACACCTTGAATGGCGCCGCTCGAAGGTCGACCACCAAAAGCGATGGATTTGACACCTGCTTGAATTCGCATGAATTCACTGAAAATAGTACACGTTGAGGCACAATAGCCGTCGTAGATCATGACGATATCTTCGGCGGCAAATGGTTGGGTCAAGTTACTTAAGGATCCATATCCGGAGACCTCAATACCCAAACCATATGTGGAGTTCACAGTCGTAAGAGGATCATTAAGGTTCCAGCGCATGAGGTTCGTATAGTTATCACCCTTGTAAACATGAGGAGCGAACTTATCCTCGAAGGTCAAGAATGGTTGATTAGTCAAGTTGTAATCGTATTGGTAGTTGAACCATGTTTCGTACTTGTTGATCAAGTCTGACGAAGCTGTGTTTGGGTCATCTTGCATGAAGTTAGCTTTGAATGTGGAATTATCAAAGATTGATGGGTTTTCACTTACAATCTGCCGGAATGTCTTCTGAAAATATCTTGGATATCGTAAGGAAAGTTTCATGTTCTCTCATTCTACTATTTCCATCTTGAACAATGTGAGGAAAGAGTTGTCGGAATTCATCATAGCCTTGCAAAATGTAACCACCCGGATTTGCCTGTAAGTCGACGATCAATTTTGTCTTTCCATCTCGTACTGCGTCCGCAAGGAAGGCTTGGGTGACGGCTTGAAATTCTGGAACCGATTCAGATTCGAATGCCAGAAGACTCAAGACTGCAACATCCTCGAAGCCAGGTTCACTTAGATAGTATCCACTGACGATAGTGTCATTAGTGATAACGACGGGCGTCGGATATCCAGTAGCTGTCACAGTAGCGGCTGCAGGCGCTGATGCAGTAGCTTCAGCGGATTCAGTTGTGGATGGCACGCAAAACTTTTGGTAAAACGACTTTCCATCAGTGACACCAGTGAAGTCTCCTTTCACGTCGGCATAGTTCTCTGTAACCAAAGTTGTGCCATTTTCGAAGCCAAAGGTAGTATTTGAGCCTGGATATATGTATCTGACTCGACCACCGGATGCGAAGTATCCCTTAGAAACGCCTGGTGAGTAGAATTAGCATAGCCCACACAAAACAAAAGTGAAATAGTGTATGGGAAGGGCTATGTTTACCTCCTGCAACAAATGCTTTCTCGTAGAACATGGTATTGTATGCAGAATCTGCATCTTGATTGAAAGAGGCTTGGAATATCCAGTCTTCTACATATTTTACCGCATCAACGCCGTTTATTTCTGTGACCTCAGATGCTTCCGATGGCGCAGAAATGATATCCTCTAAATAATTTATTAGTGCTGTTGTTTTGACATCAGATATTGTCTTCAAACTAACCATATAGGTAGATTTTGGGAACTTCGACTCCATCACTGCTGATAGACACTAAAGATCTCTGACGGCGCCACTCAAAAGCAGCCGTGAGAAGATCTGGATAGACTACAAAGTGTCCATCGTGTGCCGGGGTAAAGACTTGATACAAATCTTGTTGAAATTCATACTCATTTGCGTACACGCCACCCTTCTCAAGATTTGATTTCACAGAAGCAAGTTTGGCCAATGGGTCATATGGAGGATAAAAGTAATCTGCTGGTGGGTCCTTGAGATCCACGAGATCTGCCAAAGTCAGTCAAAGAGTCTACTTTAAGAGCTTCCATGAAGGAGAGTCTAATTGGGCATAATGCTAGAGGCCCCTCCAGTCAAGGTGAATCTCTAAAAATACAAAGAGTGACAGATGACACATACCTGACTGCCATTGAATATACGGCTCTAATCCTGTAACATATTCAATGGCTGCAGTGACATTCAATGGTACTGAATTAAGACAGTCGTGGGCTAATTTAGCATCAACTGTGGGTGTAGCTAAAGGACAAAACAGTCAGTCTCAAGATCAACGAAATTTAGTTGACATCGCTCTGTCGTATATTATGCTCAATTCATACAGGAGCTTTAGAAGTAACCTTGGACATTGAGTTTGTTTTGGGATGCAAACTCTGTATAAGTAGTCTGACCACTCGGTACATATCTTCACTCTTGAGATTAAATCTCTCATGCACTTTCACATACCTGATGGGGTGGCGACTTTAGCAACAGATGCTAGGCTACTAACAATCCCGCAAGCTGCGAGTGTAGGTGTACCAGTACCAGTAGCTGTACCACTAATTGTTGAATTGTCGCCGTGTCCGTATCCGTGTGTTTTGCCTGCCAGACTGCATGGCATTCCAGCCAGAACGGCAAGAAACAAAGCCATATTTGAGGAAGGCATTTTGATTGAAGATCAAAAAATGGCAAGCCCGAAACCACCTCGGAAAAGGTAATGGGGAAGACAAGAGAGAGAAACAAGGGAATGAAGGTGAATTAAAAAGTGAATCAGAGCATTGTCGTTGACATATATATTGATATATCTTGATTGCCATCAAATTGGCCAAGATCTCCTAATGCCATATTGGCAGGTTCTATACTCCAATGGGAATTGTCCACCTTCCGACCTTCTTCTTCGGGTAAAGTGTGATGGTGCTGCATACTGCCATTACATATCACGAATCTCGATAAGCATGGATAACAGCATTCATCGGAGAGAAACCTGGTAAAAGCTTCATTTCGCCATGCAACCCACGCTTGATTGGTTCTGTACCTGAATGATTTTCACCGTACTCTTTGCTAAGCAGAGGACTACCTGCTGCCGATGAGGCCTATGAAGGAGCTCAGAGACTAAGGCGGTCAAAGCAGGTGAATTATGCAGCACCAGATACAAAGTACATAACATTTGTACTACAGGGCAAGAATTGCTATGACAATCGTGCAATACGATCGATTTTGTTGTGATGTTTAATTGTGATGTATGGAGGAAGTACAAAGCATACTTGGGGATACTTTTCGTTGGATGGAATAAAGTTTGTGCTTGGTTAGCTAAGGTTAGCAGCTAGCTGCAAGTTTACCGTTCCGGCTACCGCTGCAACTACCGCTGCAACTATTGTTGTGCTGCTAATAATCCACAAGACGTGGCGCCGAACAAACCTAAGCCTTACCATTTTAAGCCATTTTTGCACACAGAGTATTTGATTGGATGGATAAGATAAGCTGCAATAATAAATGTCCACTTGCGTGCTTTTTAATTCTCTCGACAATGTTACTTTCCCAACCTTCTCTTTAACAACAGTTTCAAAAGATTAGAACAAACCACCACGCTTTTGTTTCAATACGAGAGACAATTAGAAAAATTTCTTCAAGATCAAACTCCTAGTTTCATCAGACATCTCTCATGTCACATCTCACACAATATTCCTTGCCACCTCACTGCCTGCTCAAGCAAACGCGCCCTTTTATATTCCAATCAAAGTTCCAACACTCATACCAATCCTTTTCAAATGGATTCATATCAGCCTATGCATTGAGAATATGAAGGCACGGGAACTCTTACCCAAAGTGAAAACTTTGATGCTGGCTTATTTAGTCTTTCAAAGTTTCTGACATGGACCACACCACTTTCTCTGTTCTAATTTTTCAGCGACGGTTATTTGAGAAGTCTCGTACGACCAGAGCTGCAATTGTATCCTGTCCCCAGGCTTATTCATATCGGTAGTATATCCGTGTCCACCGGTGTTATCGGACTCGGTGTCGTAGTCATGGCCACCTCCTGAAAAGTCCCCACAAATGCCCGATTCTCTAGTACAGAAATCGCAAGTAGGAATTTGGGAATTCTGATCAGAATGTAAATCAGAAAATCCTTTGTTCTCTTCCGCAAGTTCGGCATTGGACGACTTCTCATGAGAGGTCAAGGAGTTTGCATGGCTACGAACTTTGCCATGCGCCTTCCCGCCGATGCCAATGGGCTCGTCGGCTGTACTTGAGACTGTGCCTGTGTTGTGCTTTTTGGCAACATGACTTGTCTTGTGCACAATGACCTTCTTTCTGTCGGATGTCAATTAGTACCCAAGCAATATAGTTGTGAATCTGTGCAGGGATGGAAAGCTCACGACTTCTTTGTCATTTTTGTCCTTGATGGAGTAACTGTTGATTATCTTTCTATAACACTAACTCGTTGACACAGAGTGGGACAGTGTCATCTTTTTAAGATATGCTTCGAATTGCCAAGAACGAAGCTCTCTGAAAATTGTTAGTTGGGAACCGGTGGGTAGCAACGATTCTATGACACAACCTATCTTCGACGTGCAGAGATCCTGCAATGGCAATTCGGTCATTATTGATAGTGTAATATACTCGATAGCTATTAGGCCTGGCACTGGTCCAGTTCCCATGTCGATGCAGACTCGAGAGTTTAACCCTACAGGACAAAGGTTGTGTTTAAACGATTAGTCCCTGTACCGTGAGCGGCATCTGTAATTCGAGAACAATCACACAGTTATTGATTTTTGGTGGCTAAAAGTGGTATCTGCTGGATTAAAGACGCAGTATTGCATCCGATAGATTCGATGTTGGAAGCTTCTGATCCAGTAGAGACCATCTTTATCCCAGGAAATTCCAGTGCCGCATGATTGCAATCTTCTAGAACGCCTTATTTTTTCCAAGCCGCATATATCATAGTCTAGATAACCAAGGAATCCGTTCGCTGTCGATGCCTATGCTGCTAGCTCATGATATTATCATGTAGGCTTCCGACACCACTCCAGGAATTGACCACCCTTACTTTCCATCTCTTCTTCGTGCGAATGGCTACCCAACGCACCCTTTCCATGAGATTTCTGAGACATCACTCGGGCAATGCCATCGTAATACAGCTAAGACTCTCGTGGAGAATAACAGTGAGATTTCGGTTGAGTCAATATGGAAAAAAAATTTCGCTCCCATTGCGGGAGCGGTTCCAGATGACGGATGGCTGCAGCCTCTTCATGTTTTCATCTTGGGCGCTTTTGCAGCGGTATTGCTCAGACAGGGCGCTGAAGGATTCCAAATCTCGGTGTGCATAATGCGCGCAGCATGCGTGATTCTGAATTATATTTGCGCTGGCATGCGTGAGAATGTTTGTTTGCCTTTCAAACAATCACGCCATTTCTTGCTATTTACATATCTTGGAAGAACTTATTATTTTGAGATGAGGAAAGCGATCCAATTTGCCTACCCGGAGTTCATACAATTACTAGGATTCTGCAGTCTTATGTCAGGTGAACGCCAGCAAAAAAACCCAGCCAGAAGGTAAACGGTTACATTGATTAGGGATACCCAGAACAATGGCTACTTGCCTACACTACCAAGACCGACGAGGAAATTTTCATGTTCACGTAGAAGCAGTGATTGGAATCAGTGTACAGAGTCTGTACTAATTTTTGGTACCGCATGACGAGAGATGTGCATCAAAACTTCTTTACGCTCCAATTTAGATATTTTATCCGTTCACTTCGTGCTGTTCTTACCGCCTCAAGATGCAAAGAGTCGTATCACCACACCGAAATCCTCTTCAACACACATTTCCACGTCTAGTATTTTCCAGTGCCAAATCGATGTTGCCCAACTGTCCTCCTACTCGTAAAAGGGCCGCCACAAAAAAAGGATGGATCTCGTCTTGCTCTGCAGTTCCGTACAATGTTGATACCGTTAACCTCGACAATGCCACCGGCAATTGCTACGTGGAATTGTGAATATGTGCATGTGCAGATGACTCGAAACAAAATTTAAGTTGGGCTTATTCTCCTTCATCACTACCTAATCTTCTTTTTTTCAAGAACTTCACGATTACACTGCAGATTTTCATTATATGGAACCCTTGGGGTATGGTAAGACCAAGGGTTCATACAGTGGGTTTTGAAAATGCAAGCCCCTGCAGATGTGCGACAATGAAGCTTGTATATCATTCGCAACTTCGTAAAAGTACCACTGCAGTGGTGGGGAAAAGGCTCCGTATAAAATCCGTTTGGCCATCTAGCAACAGTTGTTCCCGCATCGCAGATAATCACATATGATCAAATCTGACTGACACGGCCTATCGAGGAATGAGCGAACTCAATTTGCAGTATGAGGTGGTGGCATTTTGGACAATTTGCATGTTCCATGATTCCATCTTCCTATTGTTTGGAAACACATGCGAATGGTTTGCTTCAGATACAATTGAAGTATCCTGTTATCGGACTAGAAGACTGGTGACTTTGTCAACCCATCGTCTTATCACTCCAGCGATCCACATACAATATCGTATCATGCCATACGATACTACTGGTAGGACTGACTTAGGTAGGTAGGTAGGTAGGTAATAATAATGTTTCACCGTTTCCCGTCGCAAAAAAAGTGAGATGAAAATAACATGATATTCAATTAGTTAATCATCATGAGATAGGTAGGTATTGTTTTCATGTTTGCCTCTGTGATGTGGGTATGATGAGGTAATAAATTACCGGTTCACGTTGTCAATGACGGATGTTTGGACCATCTAAAAACGAACCCTTGCATTTTGGAGAAAAGCTAAGAGGCGGGTACTAATCGTTCCAGGTTGCTAACGTCACCGGGAGGGCTAATATGGAACATAATGGAAGGAAGCTTAAGCTTTGACCTGCCCTGCCCTGCGGTACCTTCTCGAGCTACCTAGAATGCGTACCTGTGCATTGCTAGTCGATAGGTACTACTAGGGACTAGGTAGGTAGTCAATGGTATGATGGAAAACAGCTAATCATTGGAAAAAGGAAAGAGGATACGAGCATCGCATCAATAATGACTATGAGCAATTCGAAAGTGCAACACAATCCATCACCACAGATCAGGTACGTATGGATAAATCATGATATTCAATACCTGATATCTACCTAGCTATTTATCATCATACGATTTCCCTGCCCATGCCATCCATCCATCCATCCATTGTCTAGAACTACTAGGTGCAGCTACTAGGACGGACAACCTAACCAACCAACCCTAGCTACCTAGTCCTCTCTTAGCCTTTACCCCACAACATTCCATCAATCCAATCCTTACCTGCCCTCCGCCAATTCCTCTTTGATTTTCCTAAGCTATAAATCTAAACATATATCCATGGCTCCCGACTTAAACTCACTCCCTCCTTCACGTTCATCAAATACTTCACCCAACATGTCCCGCACAGCTTCAAATCCTGGCGATAGCCCCGCACACATGAATGTACGAGCTCAAAGTCCTTCTCCATCACCACGTTCTGCATCCACATCGCTCCAAGCTGCTGCTGCAGTTAACGCGGGCCTTCAACAAGAAGAAAATACAAGACGTATGTTGAGTTTCTTTATTTACTCCTTTAATTTAGTACAGATAATCTATCAACACAAAAAATGACTGCTAATGTTATATGTAGGTGGTTCTACAAGCCGGCATCGACAAGCTTCGACAGCTTCACACTCAGGCAGAAGACGATCGACAGTCCTGAATGCTTTACAAATGAACGATCCAACCTTACCACCACAAGGGGAAATCGTCAGTGACAGCCAAAATCGTACAGCCAGCCCCATGTCACTCACAGGGTCACCTATCACTGCAAGTGGTGATCATCGACATTATCGCGCACCTAGTCTTGGCGAAATTCATCAGGAATTGGAACAAGAACAAGAGGCTCAAGTGGTAAGTTACTGTTCTATCAGAAGATACACCGAATTTCTCAGCTCACCAGCTGATTTCTCTTTTATTCAGAATCGACTTTTGCACATGATTCGAACTCAACAACAACAACTCCAGCAATTACAAGCTGCTAGTGGTCAAGCGTCAGGTTCTGTTGCTATAGATGAATCTACTCCAACATCTGAGCGATCCCTATCATTTTCGACACAGAATATCCCTCCAAATGTTACCTCAGCAGTCCAGGCTCCCCGATCACCCGTCACTGCAATGCATCCTCGAACTTCCTTCGATGTTGCACGAGAAAATTTAAACCGGCGTTCTAGAACACCTAGTCGAACTGCGTCTCCTAGGCTGAGGTCTACATCTATAAGCAACGAAGGGGGAGATGCATGGAATCTAGGTGGTCGTGATGAAAGTGCATATTATCAAGCCGAAACCCAAACAATGATTCGAGAGAATCAAATGTTGCGTCAGAGAATTCGGGAATTGGGTAAGTTAAACTTTATCACAACTCTTCAATATCTCTTCATGCTAACTAATAATAACTAGAGCGGCAGGTTAGTGAACAACATGCAAATTCCTCCATAACACACGAACCTGCCTTGAGCTCCCATCTAGCATCCTCCACCTCGTTTTCTGAAGAACCAATATCACTTGTTGCACCAGCAGAGGAGCCAAAACAAGATTGACACGATACAAACACTCGGAGGCTTTCTTTATGTATGGGAAATACTGCGGACTAGAGGCGTACTAAGTGATTCCACGGATCAAGTGTATCCAAATTGTAAACTTTACGAAACTTTGGCGTTGGTGTGTTTATTAGTACGTTTATTGTTGGGCAGTAACGAAGCTACCTATGAGTCTAAAAGCGCGTATGAGAACATTTCTTATTCCTAGAATCAAGACTTAACAACAACTCCAACCGTAATAAATCATTTTATTTCGGAACTTTGAGATTCAATTCAAAGATGAAGATAGTGATAGCCTTGTCTTTGAGCCTTGTGAACCCCTGCACTTGCACGGAAGCTCCCCGCACTCGTGCTATTGCATCATTGCAATCTTATGCAACGACAAGCCATTGAATCCTGATGGTCTAGCAGCTTGAAATTAGAGCTTTTTGATGAAAATACAAACTTGTAAATATGTTTCGCAGCTCCATTCGAGGTCCACTGACCTCAAAATTAATACAGCGGCGATGTTTCACAAGTACTATCTCACGACAGGCTGATTTTACACATGCTGTATATCCCCTTCCATAGTACCAACGATATGTTCTTGCAATTCAATGCTAACATGGCAAGGTTATCGGTGGGGGTGCAGTAGGCCTTGCAATTGCGAGGCAATTAGCAGGTAGACATGGGACAAGCACATTACTTCTCGAGCGAAATAGTGCCGTGGGAATGGAAACCAGTTCGAGGAATTCTGAAGTCAGTATCTGTCCTTTGATATCTCTTCTATATTGTCACTGCGCCAATATACATGTCGGGATATTCACATCAACATTTTCACTCAGCTGATGAGCTATCCATCAGGTCATCCACGCGGGTCTTTATTACGGTGCCGATTCCCTCAAAACCAAAGTATGCATTCGTGGTCGTCAGATGCTCTATGCCCTCTGCGCCCAATACAACATCCCTCACAAGAACATGGGCAAATGGATCGTCGCCCAAACCGACCAACAATACGAAGAACTCGTCAAAGTCCACGCGTTCAGCAAAACGCTCGAGAATGTCCCGACGCATTTCGTATCGTTGAAACAGGCAGCCATCGAAGAACCATACGTGCGCGCGCAAACGGGGATTCTCGCGAGTCCGTCGACGGGAATCGTAGATTCGCATGCGTATATGCAGTTTCTGCATGGGGATTTTGGAGAACGCGGTGGAGACACGGCGTTGAATAGTAATGTGGTTGCGATTACTCCGTTGGGGGATAAGGGAAGCATGGGCTGGGAAATCCTCGTGCGGGACCGAGCGACCGGGGAAGAAAATACATTTACCGCGGAGAGCATCGTGAATTCCGCGGGACTGGGGGCGTGCGATGTGAATAATATGATTGTGCCGCCGGAGCAGCATCGCACGCAGTATTACGCAAAGGGGAATTATTTCTCCTATGCCCCCCGCACGCCCTCGACGAAACATCTCATCTATCCGGCGCCGGAACCGGGGCTCGGGGGCCTGGGCACGCATCTCACGCTGGATATCGCGGGGCGGATTCGCTTTGGGCCGGATGTGGAGTGGGTTGATAGCGCGGCGGATTTGGCGGTCAATAGTGCGCGGTTGCCGCAGGCGATCGAGCAGATACGGCGGTTTTTGCCGGGGGTGAAGATTGAGGGGATTCAGCCGGATTACGCGGGCATACGGCCGAAGTTGGCGAGGGGCGGGGCGGTGGGGAGTGGCAAGGGGTTTCAGGATTTTGTGGTCAGGGATATGAGGGGGGAGGGGTGGAGCGGGTGGGTGAATTTGCTGGGGATTGAGAGTCCCGGGTTGACGAGCAGTTTGGCGATTGCGGAGGTGGTGGAGGGGAGGTTGTATGGGTAGGTGGGGGTTTGGGGGGGGGAGTGAGGGTGACGAAATACGATGATATGATGAGGGGATTCATGTAGACATGACTATACTTACCAACAGCAGAACCAGAACGATAGAAGCGATGAGCTTTCCGCGAAAGTGAAGCAAAACGGTGTGCGATGAATAACAGAGCTCGCAGAGCTCGAAATATCAAACTAAACGACCTACCTACAAACCCGCATCCACAAAAACACAGGACTTCTCAATCTCAATCTCAATCTCAATCTCAATCTCAATCTCAATCTCAATCTCAATCTCAATCTCAATCTCAATCTCAATCTCAATTTCATTTTCATTGTAATTTTTCATGTACCCTTCTCCTCTCCTCTCCTTATCTCCTTTCCTTTCCTTTCCTTCCCTCTCCCTTCCCTTTCTTTTCCCAACAAACTTCATCCTAATCCTCATCCCCATCCCCATCCTCAAACCACGCATTATCGATTTTTCCCCTCTCTTCCCCCTTCCTAATCTAGGTATCTTATCATATCCTACAAGTACAAGTACAAGTACAAGTTTCATTCATGCATACCAACCAGCATACCAACCAGCAAACCAACCAGCAAACCATCATCACCATCCCTCTCCTATCCATCCATCTTTCAGCTGCGTTTTCTTTCAAAAGAGGAAAAGAGACAATGAGATGAAGATGAAAATGAAAAAACAAGCCATAACATAAAAACGCCCTTTCTTTCACGAGCTCAGAATCTGAATCTTTATTATAAAATGGGTAAAAAAAGTGAAGAAGAGTATTATAATACAAGCGAGAAGTAATGTAAGCAAGTAATGTAGATAAAGTAGGTAGGTAAAGTTAATCCCTAAAACCCCATAGAAAGAAACATAAGCTCATAGAATCCATATCCATCCATCATACCAATGCCCTGTACCTTTTACAAAAAGAAAGAAAGGAAGATCAAGTCTTTTGTTCCCCTATCTCTCCATCTTGATCCGATGCCTTTTCCTTATCCGTAGTGTTCGTATCGTCGTTTATGTGATTGGTTGCTGTTGATATTTTTGAAGCTTCTTTTGCTGCAGCGGATTTTTTGGCTTTCTTCTTGGATTTCTTGGACTTTTTGGGAGGGGTTTCTTTGGTGGTGGATACTTCTTTGGGTGGAGATGCATGTTCATCCTCGCTGGAGTTATCCTTCTGCTCTTGTACTTCTTGCTCCTCTTCTGTTTCTCCGCTACTTTCGGTACTAGATGGCTCTGAAGTAGGTTCTGGTTCTGATTCTGGAATTGGATCTTCGATGACTGTCTCTGATTTCTCTTCGCTAGCATCACCATTTTCTTGTTCCACTTCTGTCTTGTCTCCCACCGAATCACCAGACATACTATCCCAGGACCCTGTTGAATCTGCTTTCGAATCATTATCATCATGGATGACAGTCTCAGAATCTTCCAGCTCAGATTCCAGATCTTGGATCGTTTGCGAACTTGAGTGTTCTCCCTCCATCACCCCATTATTCGTCTCCTCGGGTTCCATATCATCATCTGGATCCACCTCCTTAACGGTCTCCACAATAACGGGTATCTCTATCTCTGTTTTAGTATCATTTTCCGTCTCTCCATCCTCTCCCTCTTCCTCTGCAATTCGTGAATTACGTGCAGCCCTTAATCTTTGAGTTATGTCCCCTTCTTCCTCATCAATCTCCTGAACTGTCGTGATTGCCGATCCCATTGAAGGTGATTGTCTAACATGTCTTCTAGTTGTATTTTGTCTTCCAAGCCCTAAGAAGTCTTCCTCAACCCCTACTGGTGTCTTCAAAATCGATATAACCGCCGGTGGTTTATCCTCAACATATTCCAATCCCTCTGCTTCTGGTGGTAGCTTATAATTCTCTGGCGGCAATAGCTCATGCATATCACAAACCGTCTTGAACAAAACATAAAGACCTGTCTGACCCTCAACCTGCCAAAATACTCCCCGATGTTGAAACCATGCATGCGCAAATATTCGATGTAAGCGCCTGAAAATATTAATTAAATGTTTGACACCAGCCCCTCTGTCATCCATCGCATCACCAGCGGCCATACTCAAACGACTTGGAAAAATCTTTTGACTAGTTACAATATTTGTAGCCCAGTCCAATGTATGACAGCAGTAATCGATCGCGCAACAACTTTTGGGTGATTCGTGTACGGCGCAAAGAAATTGCCATTCGGAAGCGCGCATTTCTGGACATGTATGTGCGGAACAAGGAGGATCATCGAAGAGGAATCCAATTATTAGATCATTACATTTGTTGATTAAGAAACGACAGAGTTCGTATAGCCAAAGAGCTTGATCGAGCCCATTTGGTGGTGTAGCTATTTCGACCGCGGTTTCGCGGGTTATGGGGATGCTATGGTCTTGGGAGGGAGGTTTCGTATGATAGTAATGGAGCGCTTTTAAATGTTCTTGTAGTTGAAATGCTGAGTCGAGCTGTATGATATTCAAAATAAGTTAGCAATGTCATCAAAATATAGATGCGACGTCGCCTTTGAGCTTAAAATTAGGAAATCAGGAGATACCAACCTCACTCAAAGGTATGAGAGGTGGACCAGCAGCCATATCGGCAGCTTTTGTTCCAGGATGTATCCTTCGACTAGCATTTGTTTCTATAATACTCTGCTCAATCATTTGTTCTTGGTTTGAGGAAGCAGTTCCAAGGGATGGTGATTTCGGACCAATCTGGATTTCTGTAGGAGGAGGTGGGCTGGGAAGCCGTGGAGAGCTTGGTGGGAGACTAGACATCATGATCAACCCCTCAAATTGACTTTGGAAATCTTTTACATGTGCCAAAAAAACGATGCGCTCGAAGTTGCGACTTGGAAGAGTTGAGTTTGTTTACTTTTTAACGAACGATAAATTGAGAGTTGATAGGTGTGGATTAATATTACAGTATCACAGTAATACCGGTAGTAACGCGCCAATTTCTTCAGATCCGTGTTAACCAATCAAATCATATGGTTCTTTAAATAGTGTCGGGAACTCTAAATTGGGTGCAAGGACGCTGAACTTTCACAAGGCTGTAGAACATGTGAGGAATAAGGGTTTTTATATTGTGTGGGAAAAACAATTATTATCAAATTTAAGATCTTCACCAAGTACCTAGAGAGAGGGAGACAGAGAAGAGAGAGAAGAGGGATATTCAAGAATAATTCACATTATTTTTCTCCTTTGATATACATTTACATATCCATCATGGACGTCGATGATGATATTCCCATGCTAGTCGATGTGGAAGGCAAAGAAGTTAATGCAGAAGAAAAAGAAGCAAAACCCATCAAAGTACCAGTCACAATTGTCACAGGCAAGTTCTATATATACACCTAGGTACTTAGCTGAAACAATATAACTAACCATGAGCTTCAAGGATATCTCGGTGCTGGAAAGACAACGTTGATGAATTATATCTTGAATGACAACATGGGAAGAAAATCGCGGTGATATTAAATGGTATTTATTCTTCACATTATACATACTCTTCAGATCTTGTACCATACAATGTGACACTTGACTAACTGTTCTTGCAGAATTCGGTGATTGTAAGTTGGAAAACTATAGATCAAGTGATCTTCCCAGTTTACAAGTCAAGATACGAATGTATCGTGACTCGGAGACTATTCCTCTGGCTTATGATATTCTAACTAATATTTCCACTATCCAGCCGCTGATATTGAGAAATCTCTTACTGTCAACACTGGTAGTGAGCAAGTAGAAGAATGGCTCGATGTTGGTAATGGCTGTATTTGTTGTTCCGTAAAGTAAATCTCCATATTCTTTCCTCCCTTCTTCTCTCATCCCTACCCCAATTGCAATCCCAATGCCACCAAACCTCACCAACACACCCCCAGAGACTCCGGCGTCAACGCCATCGAAACTCTCATGGATCGCCGCGGCGCATTCGACTACATCCTCCTCGAAACGACCGGGCTCGCCGACCCCGGCAATCTCGCCCCCCTCTTCTGGGTCGACGAAGGACTCGGCAGCACCATCTACCTCGACGGAATCGTCACCCTCGTGGACGCTAAAAACATTCTCAAATCACTCAACGAACCTATCCCCTCTGAAATCCCCACGGAAACACCCAATCAGAACAAATCCCACGCCAGCGCGGATTCCAATTCTGATTCCAACGACAAACACGACCATTCCGGTCCTCATCTCACAACCGCCCATCTTCAAATCTCTCACGCCGATGTTCTCATCCTCAACAAATCGGATCTGGTTACTCCGGAAGAACTGGAAATCGTCAAGGAGAGAATCACAGCGATAAATGGTTTGGCAAAATTACACATTACCGAGTTCGGCGCAACTCCCCAATTAGAAGGCGTCTTGTTGGATTTACATGCATACGATAGAGTCGATTTCAATCTGGAGGAAGTAAAAGCAAAAGGACATAGTCATTTAGATCCCGTGGGTTTTGATTTTCACTTTCTTCCTTTGCCCTTTTTCTTCCCTACCTCATCTATCTTTACCCATCTGTCCAAACACTCCAAATCAAACTCTCCCCCAACTCAACTCCTCCTCTCTCCCCCTCAAAACCAAAACCTAAAACTAACACCCCCACCCCCACCCAGACAATCACCACCCTAACCCTCACCACCCCACCCCTCTCCCCCACCAGCCTCCCCCACCTCGACGCCTGGCTACGCTCTCTCCTCTGGGACTCTCGCATTCCCTCTCCATCCCCATCCTCCCCTTCCCCCTGCCCCTCCCCCGAAATCCACCGCCTAAAAGCCCGTCTCCCCCTCACAAACCACACCACCAAAATCATCCAAGCAGTACGCGAAGTATTCGAGATCCTCGACGACGTATCTCCCTCTCCCCCCCAATCCACACCTTCTCCCTCCCCCCAATCCACAACCGCAATTGCCCCTCCACCCCCCCAAAACGAAATGCAATCCGATCGTAACAGCGAGGGGAAAATCGTCTTGATCGGAAGGAATATCACAGATATGGAAGATGTACTACTCGAGAGTTTTTTGAATTGTGTCGTGGAGGAGAAGGGGTGTTAGGTTGGAGATGGAAGATGGAGTATCAGTATCAATATCAATATCAAGATCAAGACCGTTACAAATCCATACATACATACATAAACCACAAACTTTAAATAGGATTCGAGATCCATCCATCCATCTCACTATTATATACATGTACATATACATACACACATACCCACCAACCCACCCATCAACCCAAGTATCATTCATATACAATCCTCATATACAATCCTCATCTCATTACACCATTCCAAATCTCATACATGGCACATTGGTATCATATACATAGCTATCATATACATATCATATACATAGTAAAACACCTCCGCATCCTCACTTACATCGACAGCTTCCATTAACAGCTTCCATTAACAGCTTCCATTAACAGCTTACATTAATAGTCAACTCGGCAGTCAGTCAGTCAGTCAAACCGTTTAGCCCACTAATTGCTA